GTAGTGGAAATAAAATGCCACAAGTATTTTAATTTATAAAGTAGGTACTGGGATTTGTGTAAACTTTACAAAAACAAGGAGTAGGTGACAGTAGTGGAAATAAAATGCCACAAGTACTTAACCATGGCCCAAATATAAGTTACTGAAAAATCTAGATAATATATATATGGAATATGAACTGTTCTAGTAGATTTATTATAAGGATAAAGTAATTCTAAGGAGCCTTAGCAGCAGTTTCTCTTTGGAGAAAATATCCGACAACACTAAGTTAATCAGAAAGTTTAATTGGGTAATTCAAACAATAGTAGGTTATAGGTATAACATTTAGTATAGAACCTAGTAATAGGCAGACTACTTAAATTAGACACTTAAAAGATGCAAATATGGCTAGAATATATCCTTGTTAATGTAACAAAGTCAGGAGTAGCCTATGTAGTTACTCTGGTATTCAAACCAAAGTTCAATAAAATGTACCAAACCTCAAAGTAATCACTTTAATATTAAAAAAAAAAAAAAGATTTGTAATCATAATAATTCTAATATTCCATACTATTATTGCTGAAATAACACATAAGTTTTGTAATTGAATTTTTTTTATAGTAAATTATGATAAGCATCATATTAATTCCAATATAAACTAACATGATAACTACATCTATGTGCAATATAATGCATAAGCTCTGTAGTCAAATTTTTTTATAGTAAATATTATGATAAATATCATAATAATTCTATTATAATCTGAGGTTTGGGTTCCATAGCTTAGCAGTTAAGCTTTCAAACCCCGGTATACTGATTGATTCGGTTTACTTGGTTTATTCGGTTAACCAAGGTTTCGGTTAACTCGAGTAAACTGACAATTCAAATTAACTTGATTTGAATCGGTTAGACTGCTTTAGACGACAGACTAAGGTTTTAACCAGGGCTAAAACGATACATAGTAAATTCCGGCCATTCAATAAGTGACATTCTTGATTCACATTATATAATAATTTTTTAATGCAGTATTATACGTATGCATATGCTAGTTTGTTGCTACGTAAAAACGATCAATTATTAAATATTTCCACTAATAATTTTTATGTATCAAGAAAGATACTTTAAACAATAAGCAATGGCGCAGTAAATGGCCGGCATTTACTATGTGTCGTTTTAGCCCTGGTTTTAACACTTAGTTATATGTCAGCATTATTGTTCATGAAACATGATAATACAGTAATAACTATATTACGAGAATCACTGGGGTGGTTGATCATCCAATATACGTCTAGTTACATTTTTGTTATTATTTATATAATAATAATTATAAAAAAAAAACAATAACGATAAATTTTTTGTTACATAAATTATGATATGATTAAGCACAAGATGCATGATGTCCATCAGAGCGGAGATTTCCGTTTACGTAAGACAATTTCCGCATCAGTCGGAAATTTTATATTAGATAAATTTTATTGGTCATTATGTTTGAACCTTTGATTAAAAAAGAAATTTCCGGCAAAAAAGCAGGTTACATCACCCGGAAATAATCCCGGAAAATTTTGTGCACTGATGTCCATCTTTATATATAACAGTATTTAGTAAACTATATTCGAAGCGAGAGCGCAAACGCATTCTAAAATATATAAATAATTATTCAACCTTAATTACGAGATGAATTGACACCAAGCTTAGTAAAAAGAAGTCTTAACCCTTTTTTTTACAAAGTTATGTTAAAATATTTGTACTTTATATATAGTTTTACTCAACTTGTATAATAAGTTTTAAAAAATTATACTTATTAGATTTTATATATACCAATTAGGAATATATTTTTTATATTATAGCATGTAAAATCTAAAAAACATAACTTTGTTAAGAATGGAGTAAAGAATGAAAGACGTTAATATTGAAAAAAAGTATTTATTATTGAGCGTTAAATATCCAAAAGTATTTTACTAATCTTTTAATACAAAGACCGCGGTATAATTTTTTAATCAAAAATCTATGATTATACAAAAATCAATAAGACTAGAAATATGGTTGATTCTATTAGATGATCGACCACCCCATTGAATCACAGATTCTTAAGTACATAATTATTTGGGCTCTTATTCGTAATAATTCTCAAATATTGGGCCTCTAGAGTTCCGAACCGGATGCAAAATCGTCACTCGGATCACCCGTATAATCTAAAATCGGGGGAACCAATTGAAAACGGTTGGAATAATCGTGACAGCGAGAATTATGGATGACTAGTTTTTCTTTCTTTTCTTATCGAGTTTTTCTTTCTTTTCTTATCGAATTTTTCCTTTAGTTTTTTATAATCTTCAACATCATTCGTATTTACAGATTCCAGAAAATTCTCTTCTGTTTTTCTCTTGTCACTATCGATAATATCGTAATACATTTTAGGCGAATTTTTCGGCGCTCTTTTGAGGATGGAGTTCGATTCGATATTATCAAAAAAACTGATTCAGTTTGAATCTGAGATCCGGACAATAAGTATAAAAAAATAAAATAATGCGATAATATTAATACAAACCTGTGGATAGTGTTGTGATCTGGGAGAGACTTTATCGTATTCGTTGTGGGTTTTATATCGTTATCAACAAACAATAGCGATGAAATGATTTGAAGGGTATTACATAATAGTAATGGTAGATAAGTATTTATGTTCTTGATTTGTAGACTTCTCTAATAAGGTTGTTAATTTATCCAGTATTGGGCTATGTGGTCGACGAAAGTTTTCTAACCTACGCGTAATACGCGTACAATTCTAACGTTTTATTTCCCTGGCTATTATACTTGACTGGAGTATCGTTTAGGTACTTCCACTTAATAAGCACCACAAGAAAACGTATACAACATTACGAGCACTCAGTGTATTATTAAGTTTGTATCTTTCTAAAGCCAAACATGTGCAGGTTGCCTAAATGATCGATGAACTTATATATTAGATTATCATTAATAGATTTGCATATAGTGTGACCCGAATAAATAATATTTTAAAAAAATGATCTAAAATTGATCTAAATTATTTGTCACGCACAGTAAATTAGGGTCGCATACGATAAATATTTTTTTATGAAAATCCGAATTTACTGCGGATAATATCAACTTTCGGTACGCTTTTCTCTCGAACTAGTATAATAATTAATGGTCTAATTTTTTTTAAAAGATAGAGCAAATTGTATACTTTAATGTAATAGAGCCATTTTTTTTCGATTTATACTATTTTATAAGTAGTAAATTCTTTAACAATGTAAAATAAATTTTATCTAAATTTGACAAACATAAAGCTAATGAAAATTGTAAAATTGAGTCTATTGTTGAAAAGAGCGTAATAAAAGCTATCGATTAAAAAAAAATTCAACATAAAATAACTATATTCTTCGCTCAAAAAGTGTACCTTTAGTAGTTGTTTTAAAAAAATCTACGGCATATTGCACTAATAAATTATTATTAAAATAACCGATAAAAAATCCTCAATAATAAATAATACATTAACCCTACTTATTATTATTACCGATTTTATAATCACCCCGTACGTACGTACGTACGTAGGGCTGTGAAAAAGCTTGTCGGACCCGGTCCTTGAGTCGACTAGAACAGGGTCTTTTTAGGACCGACTCGGACAAAGTCCGACTGCATATCTTTTGTTCTGAGAATTGATCATTTTGATTGGCTAATTTAAGTTGATCCAATAAATCATGCAAACCTCAAGGATCGAGTCCTGATCAAAGTCCCTATTTGAGGAGTCTGGACGGATAGGATCGGACTTTTAACAGCCTTATACGTATTATACTTTTAATTAATTTTATGCATCAACTTCGCCATTCATGCAACGCGATAACATTACATGACCCAAACCCCAGGCGCTGCGTGTCGAACAGTGTATTACATATTAGCAAAGCAATCTTAAAAAACATGAATTGCGTAGTTTATTTGTATAGTATATATTTATTATTATTAAAATAAATAAATCAATTAAAAAAATCTTCAAAAATGTCTTATGTTCGCGGAAGACCCCTTTAAAAGAAAAATCCGGTTGAACTTTATAAAAGTTACTGAACCTAATAAACATAATTCATTCCCAAAAATTTAATGAGGTTTACATAGCGGTAATATTTGCAAGACAGTTTGTGTAGATGCATGTATTGTAAACCTTGGATTTTCAATACTAATGAATGTAAAAATAGTACAGAATGAAAGTTGTGTTGGCCGATAGGCGAATTATGCATTTAAAATCTTAAAAACGATCAAATACATTTCTTATAATTTTTATATGTGATAAATTCGAAATTATAACATCGTTGTTTTTTGAAAAATTCTCCTAACGATTAAATCAGCTGAAACTAAAATTAGCCAATCAGAGACGATGATTTTAATTTCAGCCAAATTTTTAGCATTAGACGCTGATGTTTTAAAAAAGTTTTAAAACAATAAAAAATGTTTAAAAAACTGTTTAAAAAACGTATTTTTTTTACCATCCCTAATAATAATGTGTTAAAATTTTATGTTTTCTGTGTAATAGTAACAGATCTTTAGAGGTTACATCTTCAACCGTTTTGACCCAAGTTGTAAATTTTTGACCCGGTTGAACCGTTTTAACACGGGTGACCCGGTTTACTATAACCCGGTTCTAAACTCTAATCAAATCATCGCCTTCCATGATTTCTTCCACCACTATTCGGTGGTGGTGGTGGCGCTCGTGTCGGTAATGTCAAGGTTGATAAATCAAGAGGAAACGCTATGAAAATTCAAAACACTTAATAAATGAATTTTTGTTGTAAATAATATAAAATAAATAAAACACTAATGAAACATTATGCATACAGCTCCCCGTAGATGCACCTGATGGATATACTCTTGTAACAGGGACAAAACTAGGAGGTTTTGGAAAGTCAGTAGAAGGGTGAAATGTCCAACGACCTTCAGTGGTTGGTGGCTCTAGTGCTGTAAGTACAGTTATTAGTTGTATGAGAAATATTAATATGACTTTAGCATATATAAAAATAATGAAGAAGTATTTACATTTTATTCCAGGAGGTTGTGGTGGTGTCAAGATCTTACGTGAATTGAGTTCTTTGCTTTTTAATAATACAGCAGATGAAACAGGTCTTTTATCAGCTGGTAACGGTGAACGTTCTCTCGGTGGTTGTGGCGGTGGAGATAGTGAACGTCGTCGTGTAGAAGCCGACGGAGGCGATGATGATGTATTTGGAATGGTTGATTTAATTGGTAGTGGCGGTGGTCTTTTATTTGTTGGCGGTGGCGGTGGAACACGCCCATTTCGCGGAGGTTGCGTTGATTGTACATTGCGCGAAGGTAGGGGAGGGGGTGATGATGATGTAGAATTAGTAGTTGCACGTGCCGGAGCTGGCGGTGGTACAGGTGATGCTTTCGATGTGCGAGAAGGCAGTGGTGGACCACGATTTGGCAATGCAGGTGGTGTTGTTGAAATCGAAGTGTCTACATTAGATGCTATGGTCTTAACAAGATTCTTTGAAACAGTATTTTTATTTAATGTAACAGGAGGAATAACTAGGCTAGATGCGCGATTATCACCACTCGGAGCCCTTGGACGTCCACCTGGTAAAGGAGGAGGTGTGGCTAAACCTAAAATAAATGAATTTATGATTAATTCTATGTTGTATATAACAATTAAATATATAAAAATTCTAACGTGAAAAGTTACCATTTTCTTTATCAGTTTCAACTACATTATTACGACTCTTCAATTTTGGTACACCGCCTGCAAACAAGCCACCAAGGCCAACAGGCGTGGGCACATTGGCACTGCCACCGTTGCCAGCAGACACAGAGCGGCCTTTAGCACTACTAGTTGTAACTGAGCTACTTCCTATAAATGATTAAAGAAAATTTCTATATGTAAAATTGCAAGTCAAGTTTGTCACAAAAGTGAAACATAAAACCCAAAACCCAATATTTTGAAGGCGAAAGATTTTTTATTTAAATTGAGATCCCATAAATATCTATATTAGACTTAAGACTAAACTCACCAACGTCTAATATGGGTTTAGATCTGTCATTTGTCACTACCTTTTTCAACCTTTTCCCCTTTTGAATATCTGAAAGTAGAGCATTTCTACCGCTTGATGAGGGTGTCGGTGCTGGAGGAGGTGGTGGTGGCGGCGGTGCAGACATTTTTTAAAGATTTTATTTTAAATAAAAATATCAAAGCGAAGGTGTGTTGATGTACAAGTTTCCCCTTTTATAATTTTCATCTATATAGAACTGCGGCTATTTTTGTGATATTTTTAGATAAAAATTGCCAAGTTATTGTCGTAATAGAACAATTTTGTTCTAGGCTGTCTCGGCCGTATTATTTGTGAGTCATTAATGTTAAAATTTTTTAAATGTGAACACAATTAGACTTAGCTTTTTTTGTTTTTTGGTTTTAACTTAAAAGTTTTAACATTTAAAGAAAATTTGGGAATAAGTCTTATAAAAACGGGTCTTCCGATCTTTGAAAAAACCGTGCAGTTTCAATTATCACAATTTTATAACTTTTGTAAGTTATGTATATATGGTTTAGCTTGATAAGTATACGTATACGCAACTTCTTACGACTCATACGTATCCACAATCATATAACTTTCTTATGATTGGTCAATTACAAATTTAAATATGGTTCACAAAGTTTAAACATCAAATTATTAGCCTTCTTTTTTAAATTGCATACTATATTTAATTTTTGACAAAATTTTATCAAACTACGTCGCTCGCGCTGACGATTTTTAGACAGCCTTTGAAATGTTAATTTTATATAGTTTAGTAATGGAGATAGCAATTTTAAAGGGGCCCGTTATCGTGCATAATCCCACAATTTTTAATATGATACGTACGTTATAAGATACTTAAAACTATATATTAATTGTTACTGTCATTGCTACGTATTGCGCTACCATTTATTTTAATTATTATATATATTGCTTTTTTTTATATTATTGTAATTTCTTACGTAGCAGCATGTTAATTGTAATGAGATACGTACGTACGTACGTAAAAGAATTTTGTTTAATTTTGATTATATACTTCATATATTTTTATCTTTAATTATAATATATATATAGCAGATATAGAGAAAGACAACTTATATAAATTAATTACAGGTGACTCGCCGTTAATATTAATCTAAGCTATAAGACAAAGTTCTACGGTACAAATCACCTAACAGCTAAAGACATCCAAAATCAATGATTATACGTATAAAAATTTGCAAAAAAAAATTCATAATTTAAAAAAAACATAATATGATTTTAACGTGGCTTTATCATCGCCATATCTGTTAGGGGTGTGCCGTTTATTACGTAATTTCTTTTTATTAGAAGGCCACACCCCTCCCCTCCCCTTTAAATTTTAAAAGATTATTTTAACCAATCATATAATTGCATTAGGTGTGTCAGACTTTTGACTTAAAGAACATAGTAAGGAATTGTTCAACTTTAGCAGAAGATTCTATTCAACTACTGAGTTAAGAAACAAGACTTTTAGCAAAAGATTACAAGATGGTAAAGAATATACTGTATATTTAAAATTTCAAGAAAGAATTATATATATTTTTTTGATTAAATTAAATTATATATATATAATTTAGTATGTCAACTCATTTGACCTATAAGCAACAGCAACCATTAGGACATGTCCATTATTTTTGATAGAGATAAATAGGTTCTTTTTACTAACAACACTTGATAATCATCCTGTCTAGTGCTAGGGACTTTCGAAACCCGCTATATGTATAAAGAGTTGTTAGTATAAATACAAATATCTATACAGTATTTACATCACCTGTTAATCGTGCATATCGCTATAATGCTTGTGGTCAAATAGTCAAGACTAAGTAGAAACGTCATTATGATATTCTTTTGGAATGCTTTTAGCGCTATATCGTAAATAATAAAGCTACGTTTTATTTGAAATTGCAAACACTTATAAATTGCTTGTTCAAAATTTTATAAATCGAGAATATACTCTACTAATAGTCAATGAAATAGGGAGAAGTCTTGTACATGCGATCAAAACACGAAAAAATTTTTTGATAATCGTTAACTAAAATACATGCAGCTTCGGATATCACTAAATATATATTTTCATAACGTAATTTATCAATCAAAAGGGTTTTCATCATGCTTCTAAATACTACGTTTGACAATATTATATCAAGGTTTTATTATGACCATTATTCATGTATATTGTTCTTGATCCGATGAATTACTCGGACTTATATAAATTTATAATAAACATCGCATTTAAATAAAATATTGATAAAGCTTAAGCATTCTTTATTGTCAGGATGGAGGAGATCAGACAGTGTGAATGCACATCACAAGATATAAAAGTTCAGATTTTAAAGAGTAGTCATCATATCTCTTCTCACATGACAAACAATAAATTAATTGCCTAAACATTATCAAATGCCAAATAATCATACCATATAATTTTACCATTTTAATGATTTTGACTTCTTTGATTTTTTATTCGTAAATTTTAAAAAACCTCATCTCCATCAATTACATTGAACAGAAATGTATAAATATGATTATGCGACCATTGCGCTTGCTGTAGAGGATTCGCTGTAAAAAAAGAATGTGTTAAGGAAAACTACTACTGGACAAAGCTTGTTATAAATCGATTTAAAATTCTTCTTGTTATAAACCATTCCGTATGTAATGTCTAAAAATTAAGTGTAATGGATGAAAATAAAAAAAATAAAGGATACTATTTCCAGTTCGGGGCAAGTTGTCCTGCTGTTTTGTAGTATCTGGCAAGACGGTGAACTCTTGATTCAATCAAAATCAATCGAAATTTGGAGTCTTTGTCTTTACGATTACGTTCCAAGTGCTTACGAACAGCAACGGCTTTTTTGATCAAATGATAGAGATCTTCGGGAATCTCTGGTGCTAGACCTTGACGAGACAATCATTCAATTATGCTTAATCAATTATAAAATTATTCGTTAAAATTGTAAATACCATTCGATTTTAGAATACGTAGAATCTTATTCCCGGTAACATTTTTCACTTGTGCAATACCGTGTGAATCTCGAAGATGTACACCAATTTGTGAGGGCGTCATTCCCTTTTTTGCAAATTTGTAAATTTGTTCACAAACGTCTTCGGGTGTAGTCTTTAACCATGAAGGTGGTGTACGTCGGTATGGCAAGGCTGAGCTTGCGATACCCTTACCAGGAGCATGCATACGACCCATTTTGTCTGTGTTATTAAGTTCTTAACCTACAAAAAAAAATGCTTTAGGAGAACTAAAAATTTATTTGAGAAAATAAAAAAAAATTTTTTTTTAGCATTACCGTAATTGGCTGATTGTATAGATCATCTGATACAATCTCATCTTTCTCATTATATGGTCGAAAAATTTTTTGAAATTGGATTCCCAAAAATTTGTTCTTTTTCCCGAAACTTTTTCGATATCGTTCTAATAGTACTAACTTTTCTGAAACTAGTCGCTGTTCTCAAAACATAGGCCGGAAACTGCGATGTAGTTTTCGAGAAGTTAGATTATTATTAGAACGAGATCGAAGAGATTTCGGAAAAAGAGCAAATTTTTAGGAGTTTCAGAATTTATGAAAACAGCCGTAAAAAAACTGGCCAGTCGGGTTTATTTAAAAGTTTCATGTTATAAAAACCAAGATATTGAATTTGTATGCCCTAAAGAAATTTTTTTTAACAAATTAAAATTTTATTTTTACTTACTATATGGGCTTCTTTTTGGAATTGTATAATCTAACATTTTTTTAATAGTAAATAATTATTGATCAGTCTGTTTAAATAAAACAACTACCAAAATGTTTATTTTGATAAGAGGGTTCTAATTAGTTCAAATTATCAAAATTTAATTATTGAATTACAAGATAATAAAAGTTTTAAGTATGTAATGTATTTATATATAAAACAATTGGTTAGATTTAGGGTTAGAGTATAAATGTCATCAAAATTAGTGTTTGAAAAAAGTTTATTTCATTTTTATTAAAGCAATTTAAAATTTTTCATATAACAAAGTAAATTTAATACACAGAGGACCATTTATATAACAGTCAGACCCAACATACAGGGCAGACTATGGAATTCTGCACAGCTGTAAGAACTGAGCTTGAAATGGCGAGCGACTCTGCAGAAGTGTCTTTGTCCAAATCATTACCAATACCATCAAATTCTATGATTTGGAAAAATGCTATAACAAATTCCTTACATACTACCATCTTCCTCTTCTTAGCAAACCACAAACTATCAAGTCTTTCTTTCAATACTTATAACAAAACAATGCTGATCAGCTAGCTAACTTCAGTTTTATTATTGTGAAAGTAACAAAACTGAAGCACATATATATCTACCACACAAAATCAACATACTACCAAACTATTATACTCTATTAATTTATGACTTTATTAATATTTCCTTAAAATCACAATTAAATACACCTGCTGTTCTATTTTACTTTTCTACTCCTTCAGCACCTTCTCAACCGATATATAAACTACTTAATCTAAATATCTGTATCCACAATATCAAAGGTTACAATACTAATCTTAAATAGCAAATATGAGAAAATTTTTGTCTTACTAATAATCTTAACATTACTAGTATTACAGAAACCAAAATAGCTAACACAAATCCTATAACTAAAATTTAAAAATCTAAATATTTTATATATTATTGGTCTTACACCAATAGTCCCAAAGCTGGTACAGCTATTATGATCAATAACTGGATTAAACCTCACATCCACAAAATTATTACTTTCCCAGAATATGCAATAGCTACAGATATCTTTTTCAAATATGATTTTAAGTTTAGAATTATTTCAATCTATT